GCACAGCCCGGCCCGAGCGCGCACCCGGCACACAGGCGCCGCTGCGCTCGGAGCGCTCAGTCAGCGGCCGCAGCCCGCGAAGGAGACCAACTCCCGCTCCCCGCCGACATGCATCTCCGCTAGCGGCTCCCGCTCCCCGCGACCACCACGCGCGCTTCTTGGAGCCTCACTCGACCCCCATTCTCTCTCTCTCTCCCTCTCTTTCTCGCGCGCACACACGCACGCACACATACACACACCCCACAGCAGTCTATTCACTGGAGAAGAAAACAGTTCCTTCGCGCCCCCTCACACTCCACCTCTAGAAGCAGAGGAGCCGCGTGCTGGGAGCCGCTGGAGCTTCTGGAAATGCGAATCCTAAAGCGCTTCCTCGCGTGTGTCCAGCTCCTCTGCGTTTGCCGTTTGGGTGAGTGAGAACCTCGGTGGGGTTTCGGCGGCATGGTATGGGACACGGGTGTGGGCATTGCAGAGCAGAGGGGCTTGCTGGCGCCCCCACTTAGAAAGAAGGAAAGGACTGGGGGGTCCAGGCGGTGTGGGCGGAGGCGCGGGTGGGTGGATGCGCCCCCACCCTACCTCGCACCTCTGCCACCTTCCATCTGCCAGTGGGGATACGTGCTCGGCCTCCTCCGAGAGAGAGGTTGGGCTGTCACGGTCCCTGTCCTCACTGTCTTCTTGCTCCTCTTTGCAGAAGTGTAGAGAAGAGCCGTTTAGATACCTGTGAGAAACGCCACCATGGCGCGGGGCTGTGTCCTCTCACCACGTTTTTGCTGTTAATTTCCTGCTAGGTTATTGTGGGCTTGAATGAAACACACACACTCTCGCACGCACGCCCCAAAGTCGCGACAGCAACAAGCATCAACCTGACTTCTCAGTGTTTTTCAGTCTTTTTAATTTAGTCATTCCGAGTCTGGGCAGTTACTTAAAAAGAAAAAAGTTTCAATCAAAATTTCTGTCGATGATCTGCCACTGTTGCCAAAGTTAGAGGAAAGTCAGGGGGTAGTAAATTTATTCCTGAACTTACCTTTCATGCCATACCTTCCATCTTACACATTTAATATTGAATGGCGTGCTGTTGGTAGTCAGGTGGTACGGGTACTTGTCTGTCACCCAGAGCCAAGTGTTTCCGTCATCTTCCAGAATTGCAAGATGGGAATTTTGCATTTTATTATTAAAGACATATCTTTTCCTTCGTGGAAATTTTCTACTACCTTGGAATACAGTCGGATGAAGGCAAGAGTCTGAAAGCGCCATTTGTGACTACACATATTGAACTCTTTCCAACTAAAAGGTCCCATTTTTAAATTTTTAGATTGTCATAATAAAACATAATTAACCTACCTTTTCATCCAATAGATGGTGTTGCTCTTAGCATGCTAATCTTTACAAAGAGAAATGGTATTCATGTTCTAACTAATGAGAATGCAATGCAAATGTAATCATTGCCAAAATTCCCTAGATAAATGGACAAAATTTAAACTCCAAAAGCTTAATGGAAGTATTCAGAGGTGATGTACTGTTCACAGTTGACATTTAAGACCTGCAAGGACATCAAGTCTTAGTTTTCTGTAGAACCATGTAGTTAATTCTGGTGAAGGGAAGACCTATCTTGAAAGTATGTGGTCACCCAAATCACACCTGTTGAATTCATACTTCTATTATAGATTTTAACAACAAGCCAGGTCTGTTTGTTACTTAGATTATTGTTTAAAGTAGATCTCACTGTAGTATGAAGTAGGATATTGCTTTTCATGCCATGCAAACCATATGCCCTAGGTATATTGTGATATATGTTTAAAATTGAAATATAATTCACATGACATACAATTCATTCTTCAAAAGTATATAGTTGAGTGGTTTGTAGCATATTCACTAAGATGTGCAAGAATCACCACTACCTAAATACAAAACCTTTCATTTCCCCAGTCAATTAACAGCCAGTCTTTATTATCTCTGATCTCAGATATGACAAGCACCCAACTTTCTATAGATTTGCCTATTCTGATCATTTAATACAAATAGAATCATGCAATATGTGGCCTTTGGTGTCAGACTTCATTCACTTAGTGTGTCATTTTCAAGATTCATTCACATCATACATGCATCAGTACTTCATTACTTTTTGTGACTGAGTAATATTCCATTCTAATATCCCACATTTTGTAAAAGCTTCTTTGAGTAAAACATCATGGGTAGCCTGTTGGTATTTTTTCTAGATTTTTGGTTTATTAAATATTTTCTTTAACACTTTGTTGGTGAAAAATTTAACTGTGAAGAATTAAATTGTTTCAGACTAGCACAAGTTCTTGTGATCATATTAAATCGAAACCTGTATAGACACTCAATATGTGCATTTTGAGATTAGCTGATGACTACTTTTGTATCTCTTCCCATTTAACAAATTGGCCTATTGCATTGTTGTCTATAGGCTAATCTGCAGGTCTTGGCAGTCAGCAATGGGGTGAATGCCTCTGTCTCTACAAGGCATGGTTTGAAAGACTGAGGCAAAACTACATTCATTCTACACAGTACTTTTCAATGTACAAGTGGAAAATTCAGCCTCTAACTTTCTTGCCTTCAACATGGTATTTATAGGTGGGTTTGTCATGCACTTAGAGCCCACCAGGTGCCTGGCACTTGAGGTAGATGCTCAGGGCCTCAGGGTAGGTCTGTGCCATGAGTCTTATCAACACTGAGCTGTAGACTCAACTGCTTTCTTACCAGAGCTAGCTATATCACAGTTCTCAAACATCTGGAGGATTTATAAGAACATAGATTACAGGGCCCAACTCTCAAGTTTCTGTCCAGTAGATGGGAAGTAGAGGCTAAGAATCCCTCTAGCCTATAAATTCCCAGGATAGGCTGCTGGTGACCCAAGTTCATATTTTGACAACTACTGAACTAATATGGCATTTAATCATTATCGAAGTTCCTGGATTATTAATACTCTTTTACTGTGGATTTAATTTCTGATAGCTGGTTGAATGATGATATTCAATATTATTCAACCTAAGGAGCTTCTTAACCAGAGAGGCCAAAATAAAGGACGTTACTAAAATAATTCCCTAAGTGAATCTGGACCTTCTCTAAAATAATTGAGAGGTTTTTCTACTAGCTGAAGAACTAATGTAATGACTGTACAACTGTAATTATTTAATCTTGACCCACTGAACATGTAATGAGAAAAATTGCAGTTGCTTTCCTGTAAGGAGGCTTAACTGTGAGTCATAGAGGAGAGGAAGGTGTTTTAAGAGCTTTTAAGGAATAATTTCTTTGAACTAATGAGAATTCAGAACCTCTGAATTCAGTTACAGCCCAATAGTATAACTAAATTTGAATGTCTAAATATTGTTGTTAAATATTAATGAATCATATTCTGAACTTTTTAGTCATATCTTTCTATTCTAAAGATATATTAACTACAAATTATAGCCAACTGCTCTGTAGCATTAATTTCTTAATTAATTTGAATGTTTCCTGAGACAGTGGAACCTAATTTTTTTTGACTCTCAGGTTGGTCTGTTTATCCTCTCACAACAAATTTTAATAGGCATCATCCCTTTCCCCCAACTAATAGCTAGTTTTCATTCAGAAAATAATTACTTTTAAGAGTCACAAATTCTCTATAGTTCATCTCTCTCTTTCTCCCTTTAATGTAAATTTTCACTCAGAGAAGTCTGCCAGGATAAATCATTTCATCGATGAATTCATTTATACACTCATGTCTGCACTGGAGATTGGGAGCTTAAAATTTGATGTTGTAGGAATTTTGCTTCTGGCAAAAATTCAGGTTTTTCTGGAAGTGTGAGCTGTGTTTCCCTTCTCCATACTCCCAAAAGATTTGAGTTATATCTGCCTGGTAGATTTGCTTAATCGCCCATCTTCCAGCTCCTCAGATTGTAGTATGGAAATGGAGCCCTCTCTCTGGGGACCAGAGGATCTTACTAAAGGGAATGATTAAGAAGAGCAGCTTGCATTTTTTCCACTTACCAGGGTTTGCTGAGTGCAAACACAGTGCTGAACATTTTATGTGCATTTTCTTAGTTCATCCCCCAAGCTCTTTGATGTAGGCATTTTAATTTTATACATTTTACCACTGAGAAAAACCAGGCCCTGAGAAGTCAGATACCTTACCTGACATCACAGTCTGTCTCTGCTTATATTTTCTTCTGAGTGTCGAACCTAAACTTTCTGCTCTTTTCATTTCTATGAGATTAGAAGTCAATAATGACTCACATTCATGCTTTTTTTTTCTGTGTATGCCAATGTCACTAACCTTTTTAAAATTAAGACATGCTTTAGCTTTTCTGATGTACCTTCTAGAAAGCTTTGGCAGTTGGGTATGGTCATTTAACAAGCATCATTGTCCAGATGTGAAACATCCCTATCCTGTTTTAATTACTCTTTCATTACATGTGTCAGGATTCTGCTAGGTACTAGTTAAACAGTGCATTAATAGAATCCTAATACTTTGGATGCTGCCTATCCAGATGATCTGAGTCAATCCCCACGTGAAAACATTTAAATCTCATTTCAAAATAATACTTTCATTTAAAACTAGTTGAAAATCAGTCTTTTCCAAACATTTCAGTGTGTTAACTATCTTAATTTATAAGTACTTTAAAAATTATATTTCTCTTGAAGGTTAGTAAAGGTTAGAGTTAACTTAAACAAGACAGACTACATATGTTTCAGTGATGTTTTAACTCTTAGTGTCTTATTAAGAGTAACCCTTAGTAGCAGTAAATAACAGGGAAACCAGTTTTTATCATGTTTTCATACTTAGAGACATGTATGACACGCTGTATAAGCATTATGGGGAAAATTAGTTTATTATATTGTGTAATGAAAAATACTTACATGAGAATGAGGTTGTCTAATATCCTAGCCATTAAGTACAGGTGACCATTTAAGTTTAAATTTGTTAAAAGAATAATTCTGGGCCCTCCCTGGTGGCGCAGCGGGTTAAAGCACAGCATTGAGAATCTAAAGCC